TTTTCCTAATTTTCTAATTTCTAAAAATTTCTGATTGGAACCTTCCTTTGCACATTTGAGCTCAGACAGAAGATCCCCATGCAGCTCTGCTGGCTTTCTGCCACAACCCCTCAGCTTGCCCCATGTGACATGGACCATTCCTGTGCTTGGAAGAGGTTGTGCTCCAACGCACAGTAGATCAGCAGGCTGCAGTAGAAGGCATTTTCAGTTTTTATTTATAAAGCTGCTTAGAGATACCTGGATATGGGGGTGAAGAGAAAGTGCTGGTGGAGAAAAAAAAGGCTGCTGGGATTTAACTATTGATAAAGCTTGCATTTTACTAGCCAGGACTGGTTTTATAGAAGATGCCTTTTCTGTACAGGTTCCCATAAAGGCCTCTATGGCAGCTCTGTCATGGATTACTGTTAAAATACCTTTCTCCGGTATTTTTAACCTCTTTTCCAGCCACTGTTATAAAGACCAGAGTTTGGGTATGGGGCAACTGAAGACTGAGAAGTGGAGACCTACCATCCTTCTCGCTCTGTTGGCTGACCTGGTGTCTCCCCAAATAATTTTTCTTGGTTTTGCCTGGGACAATTTACTTTGCTGTATTAAATGTGATGCTTTTAGTTAGAAGTCTGTGACAGCCAGTGAATGGCACAGTTTCACTATAGCTAAATGTTTCCAGTGTGGGCTTTCACTGCAAGCAAGCTGGTGTTCTTTTTTAAACTTGCAATAGTATGTTCATGTCAAATGATTTGTTGTGCCAAATTATGAAAGCGACGCTTAGCACAGTCCTGATCACAGTGAGATCTGAAAGGCATGCTAGTAAAGCACACTTTTTAAGAAACCCATGGAATATTTTCTGTGCTTTTTATCACTTGGAAGTCTTCTGCAAAATATTGTTTTCAGTCCTGTGTGAGAAGGAAGGAAAGGAAATTAGGAGCCCCATCAAGGAGAAGAAAGAAAGAAGTCAGAATGGCAAAGCAGACAAGGACAGATCCTGGGGGAAGACAGGTATACTCATTAATTGTATTTACATTTCAAAGATGAGTTAACTGCAGTGTTCTCAATCATACCCTACACTTGGGTTCCCTGCCACACACCATGAATAATAAATGCACTTTGAAGGATAGAATAAGTGACCCAATAGGCTTCTTCCACTTTTAATTTCATGAACCACCTTTATTTGAGAGGTCAGTACAAATGCCTATGGTAAGCGACAATTTTAGGCCAGTAATTACTAATTAAGACAGAAGGCAAGATGCTGGCTAAGGCACTTTCAAATAGATCACAGATAACCTTGCAGGAGCTGATTAACTCAAACAGAACACCTCCTTAGGTGATAGCTACCAAATGATACTTGGAACAATTTTTAAAATGAAAAAGTATGAGGGAAGAGGATTTATGAAACTCTTGGCTGAATTTTCTCTGGAGAAAGAATTTTGATAATAAGTGGAATTAGCTGTTTGCCAATTAGCAGGCAATTAGAAGAAAGACATTTACCCAGTGGGAAAATCTTTTATGATAGAATCACACTCATCAAACCTGTTTATGCTGGAGGAGGATAAACAGTGCTGTGCTCACAGTCCCTTAGGTCTAGTGATGCGAGCAGCACTGGCTGCTGCTACCGTGCCAGCTTCCCGGGGGCTGCGTGGGACTCGATGTGACAGTGTCAAGCACAGAACAGAGGCTGTGGACAATTTCCCGGGGGTCCACAAAAGAAATTAGGAACAGCACAGCAACTGCCTGTGGAAAAAAAATTGAGAAATGTCTGACACTGGGGAATTTTTAGGGACCTGCAAATCAGAAAAGGCAAGAAGACATTGGCTTTATTAATATTAGTGTCTGTAAAGGTGATCAGCATTGGTTGATCAGAGAGAGAGTGTCAAACACTGGAAGCTTTTCTGAAAGTGTCTCTTTGACAGGTGAGGCCTCAAATGACCATAAATTCAGAGTGGCAGGTGGTGTAAAGAAGAGCTGAGCCAGGCTGCTGCTTTTTGTCTTTTTGTCTTTTTTTTTTTGTTTTTTTTTTTTTTTTTTTTCCTAGCTTAACAATGAATTTTTTTGCATGGTTCCTACAAAATAGGGATATGTAGGCAGCACTGCTTGACCAAAAGGTGGAGAGAGTGACAAATCTGTCTGATTTTACTGTTGCTTATGCACCTTTTTTCCACCCTCAGAACTGAAAAGATTCCTAGGTAGGGTCCATCTCTCCTAACCGAAGCATCCAAGAACCAGTGTTTAAGGCTGAGCTCCTCTAAGCTCCTTCTACAAGCAGTGTTGAGAGATGAGCAGGTGCTGACTGTGAGCTCTCTAATCCTAACAGCTCCTCAAGGAGCGTTTCATGGTTCACTCTCTAAAGGGGCTATTTCTTGCCACTAACTCCACAGGCAATATGCAGCACAAAGCTAGACTTACATACCGATCTACAGTCTAGATGCCTAAATGAGGCCAGAAAAATTGTGCCTTTCTGTTCCAAAATCCAGCTCAGAACAGCAAAGAGCACAAGAGGAAAACAAATTAGGACTAAGCACTGCTCAGGAGTGCAGAGCATTTCCCTACTACATCCCTTGGCGCAGGATAGCGCCTACCCTGAGGACAACAAATGCAGACTGTGATGTAGAAACGAAGGAATGAACTCAGTCCTGGTTTTGCTACTGGCATCCTGATCAAAACGAGAATTTCAAATAGAGCTTATGGCTTTATAACATTTGTGACATGCATAAATGTGAGGAAGTATTAATACATGAGCCTTCCAACCAAATCCATGTTTTTACTTGATTTCCCTTCACAGTCAGGGCCCTGTCCTGAGGCAGCTTCGTTTGCAAGAGGATGAATTTACTCTGATCCCAGGAAGCACTCAGCACCCTCCAGAGGCAACCATTGTGAGTGGAAGCCATCCTGTGTGGAAGCATGTCTAACCTATGTGCTGCATGAGAAGTGGGCCGTTACAGTTTTGTTTAGTTCAACATAAGGACATTAGCTCTTTGTTGAAGGGGAGGGTTGCTTTTAGAGCTGCTGACAGTTGTCCGGAGATTAAAGTTCCTTCCAGTTAGGCTAGTCTGTCCCTATGACTTGGATCTTGTTTGGGAACACCTAACACCGAGCAGGCAGACCTGGAGTATCAGCATTAGGAAAAATCTTGTGCTGACTCACTGCACCCTAGGGAAGAACTGGAGATGATGGACAACTTTGTTCAGAGAATACTGGAGCAGGCTAAAGCCTTCCGCGATTCAGTATAACATACTTGTTTTTGTTTCCAGGAAAACTAAACATGAGGTGTGCTTGAGGGCAAGGACTGGCAGCTAGATCAAAGGCATTTTTTTGGTGCATTGTTTGGGTTAACAGCCTGGTGAAGGGTAGGAGCAGACATGACAAAGAGGCTCAGAGCTGCAACCTGCTGCTGCTGCTTAGTGCAACCTGAAGCTGCACTAAAAAACAGGGAGATGCTGTCAAGTCCTTCTGGCAATGGAACAAGTTGTACGAAATGAAGGGAACAGTGTCATCAGAGCCGGATGGCAGCAATATTTTGTGACTGAAAATTATTTTCTTCGCTTGCACAAGGATAATAACATTTAGGGGGAAAAAAGGAGCACCGAAGAGGCAGTCATTACAGATGGAGGAGACTGATTAGCCCCTCTAGCTTTTCCACCTGAAAATACAAGATGTACTATGATACTGCTAACATGAACTCCATGGGAGGAAGTAAAGGAAATGTGATTACAGATATTGTATTCAAATTGAATTAAAGCTGCATTAAAAAACTCAGATTACTGTACTGTTCCATGCTGCATTGGAAAAAATGATATGCATCTGCCACTGATAGACATGTAAAGAATATGCAGGGGTTTATTTCTCAGAAAACAAGTTTGATCTCTTGTTTGCTGATTCACAAATCCACAGAAACAAAGGCAGGAAGAAAAATTATGAACAGCCTTCCCCGGCACCTAAATAATCATCAGCAAAGCAGCTGTGTTGCTTGGGATTTTTGTTTGGTTTTCTTCCAATGTTTACTCTACATTGCAACCTTAAGCAAAGTTGCTTACCTCATTTTCTTTATCTGTAGAAATTGGATGATGAATCTGAGCTTCTTTGCAAAAGGCGAATCTGTAGATAAAAGCACTAGTATTGCATACTGATGTTAATATTTTCTCCGTTGACTAGCGGTCACTGGAACACTTTTCTGTGTTAGTCACTGTACAGATTTAAATGAGTTATTAAATCCTTCTGATTCATCCTAGTTTTGCTGACAGGGAGAAAGAGCAATCCAGGCTTAAGCATGCAAGTCAAGCTCACTTTTAAAACTGTTTTTTGGGGGAGGTCTTGTAGTGGCATATATGGAGACAAATATATCTTTGTTTTCTTGGGCATGACTGCTACAAGACAAAGAAAAAAGATCTCTAGACTATGACAGTGTCATGAGTTACTGTCTCTGCCATGAGGGCTCTGTACACCTAGTAATTCTCATAAAAGACAGACAGTTTGTGTATCATGTCTAGAAGTGTCATATAGGCTGACAAAGTGAACTGCAATAAAATAGTGTATCTTTCAATTACTTCCCGTGTTATATCAAGTTGGATAGTACAATAAATTTTAAAATAAGAAGTTGACATGAATGATTATGTAGTTATAAATGAATAACAAAGACTTTTAACGCACATGTAAAAATAATCCAGCAATCGCCTTCCAACTGTATTCTCCCCATTTTAAAACAACACAACACAGTTGTCAGCTGTTTATGAAAAGGGGTCAGTGTGCTAAAATGTGCTCAGACTGAAATAATGCCTCCAGAAAAAAAAAAAAAATTCAATAGAGACATATTTTAAGAACAAAATCAAAGAAAACAAAGTCACAGAACCTGAGAGTTTCAAAGCAGTCTCCTCCTCGTATATTCCGCTCTCCCCAAAAACATACTCAAGGCTATAAAAACCTTCAGGAAAGATTCTCAGAGGCGCTGAGCTTTCAAAAGGAACAAAGCCCACAAGTATTCTTTGTGCATTTTAATATGGAAATGTCCCCTAGATCTTCCACACTTTAGTCTTTTCTGCAATCATGCACCAATTGGCATGGTCAAAGTATGAATGAATAACATGTAGCTCAGGAATAAGACACTTTATCAGCTCAGCCAATTCCCCTTCTTTAAAAATGTGGTAGTACCTCATCCATGCCCCACGAGGACCTGTCTGCTGCGGGCTCTGCGCAGTCAGGGCGCGCTCATCGACTGCTTTCTGCAGGGAAGAGCCCGTTCTCCTTTTGTTCTGAGGTTGGCTGAAAGCTCCTTGTTGTGGTTGGTGGTCTATTTTAAGTTGTTGTCTGCCAGCTAATTCTTTCTGATGTGAAATCAGGTCAGGTAAACACACTTCGCTGCTGTCGTGAAGAGCATCTGCAGCCACAGGGAGCTGTATAGTTGCTTGCCCTAATTCTGAATAGCAACTTCTGAAAGCCTTCGAGCAGTGTGACATGGGCAGCACAGGTTTAACAGCCACTTCAAAGGCTGTTGTATTTTCAAAACTCGGTTTGCAATGTGGAAAAAAGTCAGAAGCACTTTTGAGAAAGCCATGCTCTCTGTTTTTTTCAACTTTTTTTTCTTTGTTTAATTCATTCAGCTGAACACCATAATTGCAGTATCTAATGAGCTCTTCTTGGTGCCACTGATCACCCACATCTAACACTGAGTCAAGTGATCTTGAGAACAGAGAACATCTCAGAGAATTCTCTAACACTGTGCATGGCTCTTTTTTCTCCCCTCCACAGGATGAGCTCCTTGCTGTCCCATGTGCCTCTGAAGTCCCATCCGGCCAATGACAGGGCTGGTTCAAAGCCAGCTCTTTGTCCTTGTGAAGAACTGATTTTTGTACTTCATGTGGGCAAGGCTCACCCGAGGAGCAGGAAGGAGGTGAAGGATTCCAAGGAACAAAGACTTCTTGCTTTTCAAGTCGTCTCCGTTTTTGCTCCATTGCCCACACATATATCATTATCTGGCCTCCTACTCTCAAGATGCAAGCCATCTCTTTTACTGCTCGTATGCACCTCTCTTCTGTTGAAAAATGGTGAATAAGTATCCCTTGAGGCACTAATGAATACAGAGTGTAAGGACAGGGACTGGTTCTGACATACTGGCAGCTGGTGATTTGCATCACAGGAACACAGAATTTATCTTCCATTGTGCTATGTGTTATTGTACTATCTCTAACATCTCTAACATTGTACTATCTCTAGCTCTAAAGAGTTCATAACACAGTGACTTATTTTAAAAACACAGCAGAATTTAGAAGCGTTGAAACAAGTGACATCTTTCAGATCAGCAATAAACAACACAACAGTCTTGTTTTCTCAATGGAATGCTACTACTTGGTCAGTGGCAAAGCAACCTGGCCCTTTTTTACCCACACCCAATCCTCATCTGCAGCCTGAAAGAAGCATCTCTGAAAGACTGAGGCCATTCATGGTCCTTGCAACAGCCGTGCTAGTGATCCTGCTGATGATATACATAAAAAAGGATGAGGTTAAAACCACCCCCCCATTTCTCCTGCCTGCCCTGTCCTCTATTGACAGACATTAGCAGCAGAGCAGAAAAAAATGAACAGTCACTCTCAGCCTGTGATACATTTAGATCATCAACATATGGGTGAAAGACAGTCAACCAGCATTTGTCTACTTCTGCCATTACCAATATAATGAAAACAAATAATTAGATAATCCCACTCTTGCTTGATAACCCTCCATACCACACAAACATACGTGATGTGGAGAATGCCTCATTGTTACAATGGTGAAACTTAAGCAGCACATCTTTGCTTGAGTTGGAACAGAGTTTAAATCTGACTCCCATTTCAACAAAAATTTTTGCCCCGAAAAGGACAACTGGTCTCAGGCAGGAATTTGCCAAACAGCAGCTCTGCAGGTTGGCTCTGGCTCTCAGACTGTGCAGCTCTAGAATAATTCACAACAGACGTTGGGGTCTTGGTGCACAGCAGGGACTTCAGCAAAGTTTCAGCTACATCGAATGAATACTACACGAGAAATAAGAAGACGAAAGAATCCTGGAACAGTGCTGGAAAGGAAAGGGCATGTACTAAACACACTGAAAATGAAAACAAATAGAATTAGTGGTATTTATCCAACCTCAGATTTTCATCAGTGAAAGTGCCTGTGCTGGTTTGGGCAGATATTTCTACACATACAGGTTACAATGACAAACCAGTTTTTGGTTAAACTGTTGAGGCATTGGTTTTCACAGAAAAATAACAGATCTTTCAAGGAAAAAAAAATTATGTAAGCTTTCAATACTTTCTAGAAATGTAAGTATAGAAAATGGTAGCAGAAGATCCATATGTGCAGCCTCTCTGTGTCTGTCAGGGTGGCCATTCACCATCAAATCCATTTTGCCTCAGAAAAAGAGATACTTTACGATTAAAAGAATAACAGCATGCAATACAGCTGAGATAGGAAAACACTCTCCCTGCAATGAATGACGCATTCAGAGCCTCAGTGGCAATGTGAGGATCAAAAGTCAAGCTTTGAAGAAATAGTCTTTTAACATTTAGTTATTCAGCTGCTCTGCCTGTATGTTTCACTTCTTTGAGATGAACAGAAATCAAGTCCAAAAGCTCAGGTCTTGTAGCAGGAGTCGAGATGTTGACACATTATGGCCTTTTTAATTAAAGAGGCATCAAGTAGCATTTAAGAAATTACAGCATATTAATAAAATCTCATACTGAGCAAAACTTCAGTGTTCTCAAGATAAATTAATCAGATAATTTTAAATCTATGGGTAATATATTCCATTTAAAAATGCATAACTCAAGGAAAAAAGAACATCTGCATGGGGCAACACCACCCTATCCTGAAATCACAGATTGTTATGCAAATTATTGCATGTGATTGTTTTTAACCAAAGCTGAACCTGCCAGGCTCCAAGATCACCATGCACCCACATTCAACTAAAGCAGGTGGCTTAAAAAAAAATTTATTTTTTTTCCTTTACGTTAAATTCCTTGTATGTTGAAACTGTGTTTAAGCGGGACAATCTGTACTGTGCAGTAAAGGTGCTGTTCCAGAGATGGAGCAGCTCACGTTAGCTGACAATGAGGCACAGACACTCACCGAGGGCCTGACTGCAGCCCAGCAGCGCCACGAGCCTGTTTCCCTCCCCTCCAGTGGAAATGGTTCAGATCTGCTTCTCCTGCAATTCCTCTCATGCTGATGAGTAGATGGCACTGGGGCTGTATTTCATAGAATCATAGAATGGTTTGGGTTGGAAGGGACCTTAAAGATCATCTAGTCCAACCCCCCTGCCATGGGCCAGGACAGCTTCAACTAGATTGGGTTGTCAAAGCCCCATCCAACTTGGCCTTGAAAAATTCCAGCGATGTGGCATCCAGAGTTCTCTGGGCAACTTGTTCCAGTGTCTCATCATAAAAAATTTCTTCCTAATATCTAATCTAAACCTACCCTCTTTCAGTTTAAAACTGTTGCTCCTTGTCCTGTCACTACAGGCCTGGGTAAAAAGTCTTTATCTTGGGCTCCCTGGAGTTCTTCAGTGCTACACACCTAGAACAATCTTTCACCAGCTGCTCAACATATTTTAAGGTGATTTCCCACCATGCGAACAATAAAAAAAACAAGGGTCTAGATGCTTGAAAGTGCATTTGTCACAATGACTGGTACTTTAAATGAAAATTAGTTTTGTCCCAAATTACAATAAATACAGAGTCTTGCAGGGGGTGAAAACAATATCAGGGCAGAGGAAACTCATCCTGGGTCAGAGCAAACATCCCTCCAGCACAGGGCTGTGTGGTAGTCAGCACCAGATGTTCGGGAAAGAAAGAAGGGAAGAATAGCGATGCTCTCTCCCCTCACCTCCTGCAGTTGGCAGCCCAAGAGTTTCCTCAGCCACAGGCTGGAACTTGTATCTAACAGCCAGTGATAGATCTGTCCTCCATGAATACCTTCTTGGACTCACTTGTATTTCTGATTACACAAATTCACATGTTAAAGGAATCTGCAATTTAACGATATATTTTTTAGAAAAATGGTTCCTTTTGTTCTAAATCTTTCCCTGTGGTTCTCCTGTTCTAAGAAACCACATAAATTTACTCCCTATTCACTAATTTAATAGAATTTGTGGGTTCCAGGATGCTATTTTCCTCTCCCTCAGGAGCAGTATGATGTATGCACTTCTTTTATGCTACTTTTATGACGATATTCTTTCTTCTTAGGTGAAGAGCCCTAGCCCATTAATCTATCCTCATACATAAACAGTTTGCACCTTTGATCATTATAAGGACCTTTACTAGTTCATCTATATCTTTACAGAGATGGAGAGAACCTGAATTTCATGCAGTATTCAAGATCTGGATGCACCAGGTATTTATCTTCTACCATGCCTCTGGATTTTAATTTTTGTTCTTAATATTTGAATACCTTTTTGACCAGGTTTGAACACTCAGCTAATATTTTTCAGAGTGATGAAAATGAGTCTGATAAAGACTTCAATATCTCTTTCCTGAACAAGAACAGAGGGTACCACTGTGCCTGTATACTTAGTTATTTTTTTTCTATGCACATTACCTAGCATTTATCCACAAGTACTTTTCTGCAATTTTGCACCCAGGCTTTAGTTCCACAAGACTTTTTTTTTTGCAACTCTTTGCAGTCAGTAATCCTGAATAACTCTATGTCACCAGCAAACTTTATCACTAGCTTATTAATTTAATTTTAATTTTAAATTACATAGGAATCTGCTGAACATCAGCCTTTTTATAGGTGCCATACACCTACACTAAGCATTCAACATTGAGTCTTTCAGCACTTTCCATGCTTGTCTGCTAGCGTTTTGCCCTTCTGGCTTTCCCTTTCCATTTTCCTTAAGAGTTTCTTCCTTTTTGGTAGTAAACTTTTATGCAGTGGGTTTTTTAAAGCATTTTTGTTCCTAGCAGGAGGTTCAATTGCAGTCACATTAAATTCAGTGAGAGAATGTGGTTCTTGCACAATTACTTATTGATGTGGGCCTGATGCACTGTTTCAGACTAATAAGAGTTGTTTCCCTTTTGTGGCTTCTCAGATTAATCTTTCCAAGAGGCTTTGTGCCCCTGTGTATCGTTTACAAAACCTACATATGAATAATTTCTGTTTCTCAATATTATGTTTTCTGCCCTCACAGCCCTCACAATCTCTCTTAATAATCTGTGGTCTTTTTCTCTGAATTTATCAGAGAGTTAGTGATATATCCTTATTACTACATTGCTCTCCTCTGTAGCTGTCTACCTACTATCATTTCTCCCAGAAGTTTATCCTCCTGCTTTTTTTCGCAGAAGAATATTCAGAGCTTTTTAGCTGTTGTGCAACACTTGTAACAAAAGCTACAAAACCCCCTTAAGTTCACTACAAAAAGGTCTTTAGTGAACATCATATCATTATCATATTAATGAGTATCATGCCATGGTGATAGAAGCAACTCGGACCTCATTCAATTTTTTAAACATCCAAACAAACCGTTGCCAAAAAGAAATCTAAGCACAAAAATATTTGCTTGGAGCGAGCACAGGTGCTTGTCCAAAAATCCTGACAGCTCTTTGAAGCAGCAAGGCCTTGCTTCATAGATTAGCAGTTGTTATAAAGCAAGCATTCCTTTTCATTTTGGCTTTTTTTTTCATTTTGACTTTTCATTCATTTCCCCTAGCGTACCTAAAAGTCAATCCAAATTAATTTTGTGCCATGTACTGCTCACTCTCACCACTTTTGTTTAAATTGAAGACTGAAAGATTTTCCATAAGTGAAAAATACATAATGCAGTTTTAGATTTAATTCGGAGGGGGCGAGGAGGAAGGGAGAACATTTCAAAGATTCTTCTCTTCTTCATTTAAGAATATAATTAATTGTTCCTTCTCTTAATTTAATACTGTGACTAATCCTCCTAAAAGGGATTATTTAAAACAAGCAGACAATGCAAGATACATTTTTGTGTCATTCAGCTGTCTTCAAAGAACAAAACTGAAAGCATCAACAACTTTGGTTTTTTTAGAAGAAATTTTCAAAATGAGTATTTTGGGTCAGTGATTCAATATAAAC